GGATTTTAAGGAAAAGTTCTTCCCTCAGAGGGTGTTTGGGCACTGAAAGGGCTCCCCAGAGAATGGGCACAGCCTCAAGGCTTCCAGAGCTCCAGGAGTGTGTGGACAACACTCCCAGGCACAGGGTGGGGTTGTTGGGGTGTCTGTGCAGGGCCAGGGCTTGCACTGGATGATCCTGTGGGTCCCTTCCAGCTCAGGAAATCCTGGGATTCTGTGACTCTTCTTCCTCCAGTCTCAGTATCTTCCTACCACCCTCTTCTCTCCCTCAGCTCTGTTGCTTGACTTTTTCTCCACAACTTGTTGAGTTTGGGGTTTTTTTAATAGAATTACTTGGGTTGAGATCTTTGGGTCATTTCTACCCCACTCTTGTTCCTTGCAGAATGAGTTCTGCCTCCCCCAAATCCCTTCTCCCACCGCTTGGAGCCCAGCCCAGGTGAGCAGCCAGCCGCAGGTAAAACCCAGCACAGGCTTGGAGCAAAGCCTCACTGCCAGGAGATCCCCTGACATGTTTGTACTCATAAACTTGTCAACATTTGGCTTTTTTTGTCCCTCTTGAGGGAAATTACTGCTGTTCCTCACCCCGTGTCAGCTCCTGAGCCGCGTTGGGAACGGTGCTAAAACCCCTGCTGTGGGTGAGGCTCCGGTGGGAGCTGTCACTACCTCGGGGTCAGGAAGCCAACGGGAACCTCTGTTCCATAAACTGTGAGTTTTTCATAAAAGCCTTTCTAATTTGTACCAAAGAGACTCCAGCACACCCTTGGGACTGGTAAAAATAATAATAGTTTGAGTGGTGGAAGACTGCGAATTTGAAACAGAAGGTTGTGAGATCCACGAGAACTACCCGAAACATCAACGTTGGACATCAATTAATGTAATTTAGATATACAATGAGATAGCAAAGATTCCCACAAAGAACTGTCAGCTCTTACCTCCTCACATCTCAGTGAGATAAAGCAGATGTTTCCATCCCATTGATCCAGAGGAATCGGCCCTTCCATCCGAGAGAGCGTTGCCTCCAATCGCACGGGAATTATTCCTCACCAAAATTACAGCGTTTGCTATTTTTCAATCATTTTTTTATTCATTCTGAGATGAAATGCACATGTTCCTATCAGCAGGTTTAGCTCAGGAATGCTGCACTCCCAAGGCCAGGAGTCTTCTCATAGAGGAGAGGTGAAGGTGAATGGTACTCAGAGCTGGAGATGTTCCCTCTGGAAAGGTCCCTCTGTAACAGCCAATTTAATCTTTACTATTCCATCCCAAACAAATGGCTCCTGCCCCTTCCCAAATCCCCTCAGCCAGGCTCACATGGAGTGCTTTATCCTGCCTTGATCTCACATGGGCTCCACAGAGGAAATTGCTGCTTTAGGGCTGTGTTCTGGAGGATATTCTGTCTGAGCCTTGTGATCTTTCTCCTCACTTAAATCCACAAGTGCTGGCACGCTGGGAAGAACAAACACGTGGGGTTTTCCTTCCCTGGTTATTGCTGTCATCTCACATTAGCAATCCCAAGGCTGGAAATCGCTGAAATCCAGGGTCACCTGGAAACTAAGCCCCGGATGTGGGGTCCTGTAGCTGGATCAGGGCCTGGGCTTGCAGTTTCCAATCACTGTGAGCAGAAAAAGACGCTTCCATATGTTCTCCTTATGACTGTTCCTGCTTTGATATGAATTCCTAGGATTTACCCTTTTTAAAGCCAGGGCTTCAGTTCTTAATGCTGGACTCGCCCTGCCTTACACAAAATACTTGAAAGTTTGAATTTAGTCCAGAACTGAGCTTTGGAAAAGGGCCTGGCGTGATGGGAAAAGGGGGAATGGCTTCAACCTGACAGAGGGCAGAGTCAAATAAAATTTTAGGAAGAAATTCTTCCCTGGCACAGGGTGCCCAAGGAAGCTGTGGCTGCCCTGCCCCTGCAAGTGTCCAAGACCAGGTTGCACAGGGCTTGGAGCAACCTGGGAGTTGTCCCTGCCATGACAGGGGTTGGGATGGAAAGAGTTTTAAGGTCCCTTCCCACCCCAACCATCCCGGGATTCTGTACTGGGGCTGGAACTGCTCCACCTGCAAAGGATTTTGGGTGCTTCACATTTGTCTCTTTTCATGCAGAAATTGCATCTTTAGGCTCAAATTATTATCCATGGAATTGACACCTCTAAAGAGAGAGAGAAGCAAAAGCCAAAGAGGCTGAAATGGACACGTGGGCCACGAGCCTGGGGCAGGGCATTCCAGGAGCTCTCCTGTCAGAATTCCCCCTGCCCAGAGAAGATACAAGTGGTGACACTGAGGTTCCAGTTTCCCATGCCCACAATCTGGTGCTGATCCCACGTACCTCTGGCACTGAGAAGCCATTCCCTGTGTCCTGTCCCTTCATCCCTTGTCCCAAAGTCCCTCTCCAGCTCTCCTGGAGCCCCTTTAGGCACTGGAAGGAGCTCTCAGGATGTGGCAAAGCTGCTGCAAACCCTTGTGTGGTGACAGCAGTCATGGCTTAGGTGGGGAGGGATCTGCTTGGAGGGGTCCCACCTGGACAGGGTTTGGATCTGTGGGGTGGCACCTTTTCCCCAAGGAGCCTCAAACCCAGAGCTGTGCTCCTGGGCAAACAGGCCTGGAAAAGCACAGAACTGACTGAGCTGAGATCACTGAGTCCAAGCTAGGACCCAACAAGATCATGGCAGCAGGAAGGCTGGAGAAATTGGAGAAAAGAAACCAAGGGGCAGAGAGAGGAGCCCCCTCTGTGGTCAGGCTCAGCATTAGGGTGCAGCTCCCTCCTTCCCCTTCTCCTCCTTTTCCCTGCCTTTTGGTGAGCGATCCGAGGGGCAGAGCAGGCTCTGGGCTCTCTGGCAGAGCATCTTTCATGTATCACGTCTGCTCCTCGAGGCACAGATCGTATCCTCTTTCCCTGGCACCAGCACAGCCCGAAAGTGGCACCCCCAGGACAATGCCTTGGCCGGCTCCGGCACTGACCCAGGATGTGGGAGCCAAGGGGTCGGGATGAGGGGGCCAGGAGGCACCAGGGAGGTTGAATAAAGTGGTGTGGAATATCATTGTTCCAGCCAGGATGAGTAAGAGCACAGCTGAGCTTGGTCACCGACGGCACTTCCATGATTCCGGGGGAGGCAGGGGCTCGGAGACGGCTGCACAGTTGAAAATCAAGACAATGAGTCTATAAAAGTTTAAGAACTGAATAGATCCCGAACATTTGGTTCTCATTATCACCAAATAACATATAAATAAACATACAACAGAACCAAGAGCAGCATCTTCTTCACCCCCTCTGCAAGAAGTTGTGTTTAGGCTGAGCTTGGCCTCCTTGGCCAAACCTCCTCCCGCGTGCTCCGGGATGGAATCGTGGGGCTGCCAGGCTTCATCTTCCTTCAAAACAGAGCAAAGCCTGATCCATGCAGGAAAATGAGGTGTCAATGTGCTGCTGGTCCTTAAAAGTCAGCACTGCAGGGAGAAATGTGAAAATAAGCCCAGGAAGAGTCAATACAGATATTTTTTTTCTTGTTGTAAAAAGCTCATCCCACCCCCTGCCATGGGCAGGGACACCTTCCCCTATCCCAGGTTGCTCCAAGCTCCATCCATCCTGGCCTTGGATACTTCTAGGGATCCAGGGGCAGACACAGCTTCTCTGAGCAACTTAGGTTCATTGTGAGAATTCATGGAGTAAGATGAGAGGAAGAGATGAATGATCAGAGACACTCTGATGTCCTGAGAGGGAAAATCTTGGAAGAGTCCCTGGCAGAGCTAGGAAAAGAGCCATGAATGTGATTCCTTAGTACATCTTGCTCTTCTAAGATGGACATATTGCTCAATCTCTGCCCCCACGGAAGCAGCTGGACAGAAATAATTACCTTTCCTGCATGGACAGAGCTCACAGTTACTGAAAAAACAGCCTTTAGCAAAGCAGAATGGATGGAACCTCTTAGATCTCACTGAGGAAGAGGAATTGAGATTGCAGTGCTGGATGGAGGGTCCATAAAATCAGGATTCTCCTTCCTAAGGGCTTGTAAACACTCGTGGATGCCAGGATTTCAGATTTTAGAAGACTTTATTGTACTCATGTTGTTGAGAACATCACTGAGAGAGCAAGGGATGGCTTTCCTCAAAAGAAAAGTCAGGAATTCCAAAGCTTTTAGGTCACACATGTTAAACTCGACTCTGCAGCCGCTGCAGGAATTGCAGCTGCTGCCAAAATGTAAATGGGAAATGGGCTCAAAGCTGCTCTACATCACTCAAAGGTTCCCTGATCTGTGGAATTCACACGGAGAGGGGCACACAGACCTGCCATGGAGTGCCCTGTGCTATGCAGAGTTCTCCCCACTCCAAAGGGAAGGGAGATCTCCTAAGCTGCAGCAGCTTCCTTCCACCTGTGGTTAAATCCTGCTGGGATGGGAAGGCAATGCTGGAAAAAACCCAGCGAATTTGGGAATCAAGAGAAAAAGTCATTCCAAATATGTCCTCTGTGTGTTCTCCTCCTCTGCAGCCTCTGCCCACCCTCCCCAGGACCCTCTCAACTGCTCTTTATTTTCCCATCTAGAGCATCAGGGATCCCTGTCCCTTCTGCATCTTCCCCACCCTCTGGCTCCTGCTTCTCCTGGACCAGGACCTTGGAGCACAGGCAGGATACAAAAAACAACTTAAACCTGTGAGGTTCTTTATCCATGTAATGAAGTTTTTCAGGAATGGCAGAGGAAAGGGAGGGAATGCTCAGAACAAGAGGAATTAAAATAAAATCCTGGAGAAACTGCAACCATGGGCTGTGGAGCTCAACTGGTCCGTGTATGAGGATCTCACTTATTAATTATGTTTTAATTCCATCATCATATGGGATTCCTTTTTAATTAGTGGGATGCTGGTCAGCTCTAGGAGGCAGAAATCCCTCAATCTGAGGACTTGGCCTAAACCCCTGATGAGATCTAGGCAGGAATGGAGAGCTCACATCTTCCCCCTGACCCAGCCCCAGGCTGACCTGACCTCTAAAATTCACCTTCAAAGTAACCTAAATGACTGTGGAAAATGGGATGAGGCTGCTGCAAGTGTGGGTAGGTCCATGTAAGATTGGGCTTGGGATTTTCATCTTGAAAAACAGGATTTTGGTAGTGCAGGGGTTGTCTTGATGATCCTTGTGGGTCCCTTCCAATTCAGGATATTCTGTGATCCTATGAGAACCAGTAACAACACAAAGTACTCAAATAATTATAAATGTTCTTAAAATAATTGCAGGGTTTTGAACAGAGGGTTCATTTGTGTTTATTTGCTTTTTGCTCCTCAATTGTTGGGGTTGGCAGCGCTTGATGCTTCCAGTTTTGCTCTTCCCAAATATTAGGGAAACATTTCTTTCTTAAATGAAAACAGAGACTCTCATGGAATTTCATGTCTATGACACAGGACTTATAGAAAAAAAAAAAAAACACTACTGCAGGAAAACAAGGCCAAGAAGGGCTGGAAAAGGTTGTCCCCCTCCCCAAAGGCAGGACAAGGCCACCATGAGATTCTTTATGGCTGTGATCTGTGGGATGAAGACCCCACAAATTCTCAGACGATGTGTTCCAGCGCTTGTTGGGGTTTCTCCTGGAAGGGACAGCCCCGTGGGAAACTCACACTGCCCCCAGGGTCTGGGAGCACAGACCTGGCCCGGGACCACCCAGCTCTCAGAGCCCACCCAGGAGAGCTCAGCAGGACCATCCAGGGATGTGAGTCCTTGGTGCTGGCCCTTCCTGGAGATCGGGGGATGGCTCTGACGTCTCCCGGCACTGCTGACCTGCTCTGCATCATCTGATCCTCCAAAACCACCTGGAATCCTCCTCTGCAGTGCCACCTCCTCTGCTGCCATCAGCACCTCCTATTTAATCCCCTTTCTTCCTTTTACTTTTCACATCCTATTCTCTTCAGGTCACCTCTCGAGTTTGTTCAGAACATTTCTAATTCCTCAGTTCAAATTTCCTGGCAGCCTGTGAGCATCACACAGCACCTTATTCATCTCATTATCCCTCTCGTTATCAATTAAACCCCCTGATTGGGAAGAGAACCAGCAAAGGCTTTGCCAGATCCTTTCGATGAGCTTTAAGGTCCTTCCAAACCAATCTGGGTGTGATTCGATTCCAGGGTTCCCTCTCCCTGGTTCACTCTTTCCCAGGCTGTTTTCCAGCTTCCATGAGTTTCCAGCAGTAAAATTAACATTTTAAAAGCTGGAGAAGGCAGCGACAGCTCCCCCAAAACACTCACACCCCCCTGGGCACCCTGTGCTCGGCCGTGTCCCCCGACAGAGCGGTGACAAACACACGGGGGATCGGTCGTGTTTGGTGGCTGCTCCCAGGAATCCTCCGCCGCTGCGGGGACAGCGACTGGTGGGACCGGGATCGGGTCCATCCATACCGGGATTGGCACTGGGATGGGATGGGATGGGATGGGATGGGATGGGATGGGCAGCGGGACTGGGCACGGGCCCACGCATCACCGTGCCTGCCTGTACCGGGACAGGCACAGGGATCGGGTCCATCCATACCAGGACTAGAATTGGGATGGGAAGTGGCACTGCGCTCTCCTGCACCGCACTGGGCACGGGCTCACTCATCACCGCACCTGCCTGGACAAGGACAGGGATCGGAATCGGGATCGAGATCGGGACCGAGACCGCGATCGGATCCATTCACACCAGGATGAGGATGTCGACCGGAACTGGGACTGGGATGGGAAGCGGGACTGGGCTCTCCTGCACCGCGCTGGGCACATGCCCACTCATCACCGCGCCTGCCCGTACCGGGACAGGGATCGGAATCGGGATCGAGATCGGGACCGAGACCGCGATCGGATCCATTCACACCAGGATGAGGATGTCGACCGGAACTGGGACTGGGATGGGAAGCGGGACTGGGCTCTCCTGCACCGCGCTGGGCACACGCCCACTCATCACCGCGCCTGCCCGTACCGGGACAGGGATCGGATCGGGATCGGGATCGGGCCCGCAACGGGGCGTGGCTCCACCCGTCTGATCCCGCCCCTCTCATTTGCATATCCCCGCCCCGCAGCCGCCTCTGCCCAGGCCCCACCCCTTCCCTGCCCAGGCCCCGCCCCCGGCGGACGCTGAGGCGGCGCTGCCCCGGCCGAGCCCCGCCCCTCCCCGCCAGGCCCCGCCCCTGCCCTGCCCAAGCCCCGCCCCTCGGGCTGGGCCCCGCCCCCTGGCGGGGCGCTGGCGGCCCGGCCGCGCAGCCCGCGGTGCCCGGCGCGCCCCGGGAGCAGCAGCGCTGGGGCCGCTCCGCGCCGCTCCGCCCGAGCGCACCATGGGCGCGGAGCGCAGGGCGGCGGCGGCTGCTCCCCGCGGCTGCGCCTGCGGCGGCGGTGGCGGCAGCTGGCGGCTCTTCCTCGGCTTCTTCGCGCTGTCGCTGGCGCTGCACGTCCTGACGCTGGGCTGTTACCTGGAGCTGCGCTCCGAGCTCCGCCGCGACCGCGGCCCGCAGCCCGCGGCCCCGCCGCGCCGGGACGGGACGGCGGCAGCGCCCGGAGCCCCGGCCGGGGGCCGCCCGCAGCGCGCGGCCGAGGGCGCGGAGCGGCGCCAGCAGGTGGGTCCGGCCGGGGGCGGGGGGACCGCGGGGGCTCCGCGCTGCTCGGGGCCAGCCCCGGCTCCATCCCCGCGCTCGGGTGCCGCGCCCCGGGGCGCTTCCTCCCTTGGGGGAGTTTGTTGGAAGAAAGGGGGGAAAGCCCCGAACTCCCCCAAAGTGAGGGGGGAGCTCGTCTGGTTTGGGGGCGCCGGGCTGCGGGGCCGCCTGTGTTCCACCTGCTGCTCGCCGTCTCCATGTCGCGACAGACCCGCCGTGTGTCCCGACAGCCCAGCCGTGGCCGGGGGCAGCGGCTCTGCCCCGGCCCTTGTGGGGTTCCCCCCGGGCGCGGGGTGCTGCTGCCGGGGAGCCCCGCACGGCTCGGCCCCGCGCCTTCCGTGCGCGCTGGGTCCCGGTTCCGCACGGCCTCCGCTTGCTCCCCTCCCTCCTCCTGCGCTGGCTTCGTGATTCCACTTCTCCCCCAGCCCAGGTGCATCATCTTTTGCGTGATGCCTCGGTGTGCCCCCCGCAGCAGCTCCTCAGCCTGTGCAGGACAGGTGGGCAGGAGCCTCCCGGTTGTCCCCGCCGGTGTCCCCAGCCCCTGGGGGTGTCGCCTGTCCCGAGAGCTTCTTGGAGAGCCGGAGCAGAGCTGGGGCCTCCGCTCGCAAACTTAGCTCATTTTTTCCAGGCACGAAACCTCGCTGCGAGCAGGATAAGCTGGAGGAAGGAGTTTCCTCCCCTCCGAGCCTCCCGAGCGGATGGCCCGCTCCCCCAAGGTGGCTTTGCCGCGGAGTCGCAGCGGGGTTTCGGGGGAGATGCCAAGCCCTGCCTCGGCACCCCGGCGGTCTCGCCTTGCTGGTTATCAATGTGTGGGGGGAAGGACAAAAATAGCTTTGATAAAGCGGCGAGTTTGGAACTCTTCCTCCCACTTGGCAGCGGGAGCCGTTCCGCCGCGCCGGCCTCGGCTGCCCCCGGCAAAGCCGGGCTTGCGCTTCCTTCGCTGCCTGGATCCCGCTGCTTCCCATAAGAAATCCAAGTCCAGCGTTGAACCGGAGGGAAGCCGAGCCTCCCGGGTCATTGCTCTGCGCTCTCCCCTCGCTGTCCCTCGAGCAGTGTCAACACAGAGTGAGCCGGAGCGGTTTGATGTCGTGCTGGGATTCCTGGGTTGCCTTGGAATAGCGCGCGGCTGGAGTGCCTGTCGTGTTATCGTGCTGGATCTGTTTAGTCTTTCGAGCTCTTCTTTCCAGCGAGTGCATAATGAAATACCAGGGCAAATACTTGAGGCATTCATAAATTACAGCGTTAGATAATTTGTCTCTGGATGCGGACGGAGCTCCGAGCGTCGCTCGCTGCAGCTGACGGACTCCAGATAAGGTAACGCTAATTATTTATTTCTTTATTCTACATCTGGCCTGTCAGGCTCGAGATGAAATATTCTTTGGGGCACATTGAAGCAGTTGGGTTGGAGAGAAGGGTTGCTGGTAGTAGGGACATGGGGAAGGAAGGCTGAGCGTCCCGAGCCGCTCCGGTTGGGAACGGCTGCCGTGACAACGTGAGATTAATGGGATTTGTAGTGGTGCTGCTCACCCGTTTGTCCCTGATTTTTCTGCCTTGAGTCGATGTGCAGCTCAAAACAAGCACTTTGGGTGTCCTGGGGCGCTGTGAGTGCATCCCTTCAGTGATTAAAACAGGGAAATGAGGGATTTGCAAACAGCTTTATTTAGAAAATTATTATCCAGCTTTGGGGTACATGTGGGGTTCCTGGCAGCTCTTCCGAGCTGCGCTGCTGATAAACCCAAAGTGTGATCCCACACATGTGATGCTTGCATAAATTGGGCTGAAATTAGTAAATAATTAATTCAAGAGATGTGATCAATGGCAGTGCCCTACTGAGGACCATGGTCAGGGTTCTTTTGAGGGGACCAATGACCACAGTGCTATGAGCCCTCAAATATCCTCCAGCTGCTGAGGTGTCCTCGGTGAAGAGGCCGAGTGCTGTGTGTGTTGTGATTGTACAAACTGATTTAAACCCAAAAGATACTCCCCTTCCTGACCCTTTTTTCTTTATTTTAAAATTATTTTATTTTCCCCCACTTTCCTGACCTGAGGCAGGAGGAAGAGGAGCATGGGGGGGAAGGATGGGGAGTGATGGTCAGCGCTGAGATTTTGGCTGAAACCTCACCTGGCTGCGTGCCAGAAATGACCTCATGACAGGAGTGAGATTTGGCAGCTCGATAACACCCCGCTTCCCTATCTCACAGGGTATCCAAATATGTAACTCATTTGGGATAGAAGGGCAGATTTTCATGGCAGAGGTTGAGGCATTGTAGTTCCACATCTTTGTCCCAGAACCCGCCGGGTGTTGCATCACCACGTTGGCTGCGAGATGAGGAGTTTGTTAGAGCTGCTTTAATTCATTGACTCTTCAGTGGCTCCGAGGTGTGAGAGAGGGTTTGGAGAGCGGTGGAGCCTTGGCTGGTGGTATAAAATCCAAACAATCCCTCCGGATGGGTGTGCTGTGGGATGGGAGAGGGATTCTGTCAGGCGGGCTCTGCTCTCAGAGATCCACATCAGGGCACTCTGTCCCTTTAGAGGATTTTGTGCCTAAATTAAATCGTATTTGTCTGTCAAACAATCATCCTTGCAATATTTGAGCTGTGCAGAGCATCATCCCCATGCCTTTTTCTCCAACCAAATCCATGATATGCCACTTTTCTGCCAAAACTTATTTTTTGGCCGATTCTGGGTGAGATGTGTGCCCTGAGAGTTTCCCAGAAGAGGATGAAGACTGCCTAAGCCTGGGAATGGGATCAGATGCCATCGGTTTTGTCAAACTAATTGTGGAGACGCTTGCAGCTGGTAGGGGGAGGGAGGGGAAGTGCTGAGTCATCCAAAAAAATGTGCTGAGCAGCAGTTTGCTTACTGGCATTTCACCTTCCCGGTGCCAAGGTGTCTGATCTCAGTCTTCACTTCTCACCTTTTTAACAGGGGATGTTCCTACTTTGGTTGCTTTCATGGAATAGTTTGGACTGGACCTTAAACCTCATTTAGTGGCACTCCTGCCACGAGCAGGGACAACTTCCACTATTCCAGGTTGCTCCAAGCTCCATCCAGCCTGACCTTGGACATTTCCAGGGATCCAGGGGCAGCCACAGCTTCTCTTGGCACCGTGTGCCATGGCCTCACCATCCTCACAGGGAGGAATTTCTTCTTTTTTTTCCCCTCACCAGTGTGAAATTGCAGTTATTTTTCCCTTTTTTGGTCAATTCTGGCTCCAGAGTGAGAGGCAGCTCTTGGTGTGATTGGCACAAGGGCTCTAAAGGTGTTGAAGCTGCTCCAGAGGCTTCTCCCACCCTGAGCATACCTGTAGCTCATCCATGCATCTTCATCCTCATCCCAGCTGAAACCTGCCCAACGTGCTGAAAGCTTTGAGCAGAGCTCCTGTTGGAAATGTTTCAGCAGCCTCAGCATGGATCCTGTGGGTTCAGATCTTTAAATCCCTGCTCAGGGCCTGTGTGTGGGGAAAGGCTGGATGTGTGCAGAGGGAAGATGGTGATTAGGGATGTGCCCCCACTGGGGGTTTTCCCTCAAATCCCACTTTGTGGTCCTGGTTGTAGCTGGAAGAAGCTTTCAGAGGGCAGCAAAGGGAGCCCACAGAGCTCTGTGGCAAATGTCAGGCTCTGGTTACCTTCATTCACAACTTGAATTCTCCTATTCCTGCTGCTGTGCCTATGCATATTCCGTGCAAAGTCTGGCCTGAATCCAGAACTCCTCCTGTTGGGATGCTGCAGAGTGGCAGGAACGTGGCAGTGGATGCAGGATATGTTGCATCCTTTGGGAAATGAAATACAGGGCTGGGGGTGCATCCCTGCATGTCCTGTGGGGTGAATTCCTGCTGTGAGGAGAAACCTTTGGCTCTGTGGGAACAGCCCAGCTGCTCCTTGGGAATTGTGGAATCACAGAAGGGTTTGGGGTGGCCATCGAGTCCAGTCTCTCTGCCACAGGCAGGGACACCTTCAACTCAGTCAGGACCTTCCCAAAGTCCTTATTCACAGTGGTGCTGCAAGGGTGCCTCCTCCACAACTGAGCTGTGGCTTAATTTCAATTTTCTGTTCATTCCATGAAGGAGAAAAACTCTGTGTGAGGACCAGGATGTTTTATCACCATTTACTGAGTTCCTTGATGGAGAATGTTGTTGCCAGAGCAAGTGTTTGACTGACCCACGACCAAATTTTGCAGGGTTTTTCCATAATTTTTTCAATTAGTTCCCTGGCAGATCCTTGAACTTGGGTTTTTCACAACATTCAGTGGCATTCTAAAGTTATCTTCCCCTTAACCCCAAAGTAAATAGTGTTGTATCAGCCCCATATTATTTTAACCTTTTAACATTATTTTCCTTACCACATAATAACATAAATCTTCCCTGCTCTCCCATACACATGTAGTGTCTTGTAATGCTAATTAAACTGCACACCAGCCTAATTTTGCTCTCAGACTAATCTAATATATTTTTCTTGACTGGAAGCCAAACCCTGAGAGCTTCAGAGCATGCGGAGCTCTCATTCCAGTCTTATTATATGTTAATGGCTTTATATTTTAATATCTTTCAACACTTGGGGAGGATGTTATTTTTAGAGGTGTCTGGCTGCAGAAGGTACGGTCTGTGAGGGGTTTGGGGGATGTGAAGCACTGAGTAAACTCCGTGCAGTGAGTAAGTGGGAAGTGTTTCCCTGAAGAGGTGTAATCTGTCAGGATCCATTGTGCACAAGCATGGAATCACAGGGAGGTTGGATGTGATTTCTCCCGTGGTTAAGTGAGGAGATTTGGCTGCAGTTTTCCCGTGGTTAAGTGGCAGATTTGGCTGCAATTTCACCGTGGTTAAGTGCCTTTATGGGGCGGTTGCAGTGGTAAGTGCTCTCTCGTTAAACTCTGGGTTTGTGTGCTAATGGTGCTGATGCCAGTCGGGCCTGGATGCTACTACAGCAGGAATAATCACTCCCAGATGGGTGTGGATGGAAACGAGC